CTCTTCTCTCTCTCTCTCTCTCTATATATATATATATATATACTCTTTAAAAGGACATAAGTTGAATGCTTTAAATTCACATATTCACATGTCAAATAGTGGTAGCTGGATATGAAAAGCAAAGAAAAAATGGGCTTGCAAGTAGAAAACATCCTACACATGAATACAGGCAATGGAGAATCAAGCTATGCCCAGAACTCCTTTCTACAGGTCTCTATCTATTACTCTCTATCTTTACACACACAATGAAAAATTGTTTGTTTTAATTAACATCCCCTCCCACATATATCATCTATGAACAGGCCCGTTCCTGATATTTTATGGGCCCTGGACGAACGTAAAAACAAGGCCCACCGCAAGAAACAAGACTTTTAGCAACGACTTTTGTTGTCGTAAAAAGTCTATTTATCATTAGAAATAGTATATAACAACATGTCGTCGCTATAACTTGTGGCGAAAACATGTCGTCGCTAAAAGACGTATCGCCAAAGCTCACTTTTCTTGTAGTGACCATCGGTAAGTACGAATAAATGTTTTTTATTAGTATATTTGAGTACAAAAAATGCGAATAATTTACTGAGAAAATAAATCTTATTTATCTTTATTATAGATATATAAGAGAATACTTAAATTTACGTACTTCTTATTAGGTAATTTGAAACCAAGATTATAAAAACTATGATTGATAAATTAACAAGAAATATGTGTTATTTTGATACAAAAAGAGAATCCGTRTGAATGAAGTAATCGTGAAGGTCWATGAGATATTAATAATAAAGAAGATTATCAAKGTTTTCTAGATAAGTAGACAAAAGAGGATCAATAAGAATATGAAAGAGAAGATGATCCATTAAGATCCAATAAAAATAAATAATGAATTAAACATATAATATGCAAACTCAACAAATAATTGTTTGAACACTTAAATAGAATATTGTTGTGTGGTGGAAACCAATAAAAGATACATAAGTTAAACAATTGATGAAAATACTTAAATTCTACTTTCCTTCTTTTTTGCTCAACTAAAATAAGATATTAAGATCAAAAATTTATGGAACATGACATATATAATAGACATAAATAAATATATCTAGTAGAAAAAATTTATTGATTAATCACAAAACCATGAAACACGTCATAAATTATAAGGATAGTATATTGATTGTCAAATAATAATAAAATATTTTATGTATAAGCAAAAATAGATAACAATAGTCAACAGAAACAATTAGAACGACATAACCAAATAGCAATAGTTAATAGAAGCAGAAAATGATAAAAATATCCAACAAAAATATATAGCAATAGCAAACACGTGATATTAACGTTGAATTGTTGAATCACGAAAACAGTCAAGCATATAGAGATAGCAATAACCAATATTATTGGACCTTGTTGGAGATAAAAAAATAATTAGAGAGACAATAAATAATAGCATATAATGAATGACCAATTTTTTTTTATTTTCTTAAAAAATTAATTAGTTGATATATTTTTGGACCCTTATTATCTACTAAATTCTTTTTGCCTTTTATTATATGATACAATTTTTGGGGTTTTTTAAATTTATTAAATTTTGTTAAACTACTATTGTATTTTAATAGAAAATTTTGGTCCCCTGGTAATTTTGGGCCCTGGGCGTGCGCCCGTGCTGCCCTCTCCCGGGACGGCCCTGTCTATGAACATGTGTTGCAATGAGGGGAAATTCACGTAATAAAAGCATACAAAAACCTTAGCAGCTATCGATTTTGACGAGTGTTGGTGTAATTGTTTCCACAGGAAATGGTGATACGGAAAACATTGCCGGTTTTTGAGCATACAATCAAGGGTATGGCTGATCTTGACATCGATGTCTTTGGACAGTGTTTCAAGATAGCAGATTTAGCATGCTCCTCTGGTAGAAATACACTCTTGTTCGCAAGAACGATTATGGATATAGTCGATGAGGTGTGCAAAGAATATGATCGTAAGGGACCACAATTCGAAGTGTGCTTAAATGAACTTTATGGTAATGATTTCAATACCATTTTCGGAATGTTACCCAATTTTATTGCAAAGCTTAAGAAGGAGAAGGGAGAAAATTTTGGCCCTTCTTTTGTTTCAGCAGTTCCAGGTTCCTTTTATGGCAGACTCTTCCCTGACCAAAGTTTGCACCTAGTTCACTCCTCTTACAGTGTTCATTGGCTTTCTCAGGTTTTCAACTCTATATTTGTATCTATTTTCTCATTTTCATGCGTATGTATACACACACACATATACAGACACACTTGCTCACCTAGGATTTTTGTCGAGAGGGCGCACTACCTTTAAAGTGGATCAGGCCCATAATGTCGTCCGATGTATTTCTAAACGAATTCTACTGTTTCTAAGAATTTCTTAAGTTTTTTGGTTGATTTCGAGGTACTTTAAAAAAAAAAAAATCATTTACAGTGGAAAACAAGCTCTAAAGAAACACAGTAGCATAGATGTTTGTGTATCGAGGACTCCGAATGAACCTTTCAAGAAATATTGATATAAACTGTCCTATCTGGTACTTAATGATCCTTGCCAAATGTGATAGCTACCTGAAGGCCTCGAGAACAACAAAGCAAATATATACATGTCGAAAACAAGTCCTCCAAATGTGATCCAAGGATATCAAAAGCAGTTTTATTCAGACTTCACAAACTTCTTAAACCTACGGTCCGAGGAAATAGTATGTGGGGGGCGTATGGTTTTAACATTTCTTGGTCGGAGTATTGCTGATCCAACTAGTGATGACTGCTGTCGTCTCTATGAGCTTCTAGCACAATCACTTCTTGATATGCTTGAAGAGGTATATGGTTTCTCTCTCACTCTCTCTCTCTTCTCTCTCTCTCTCTCTCTATATATATATATATATATATATATATATATATATATATATGTATATATATATATATATATCTAAATTTCACAGCAAGCTAAAAAAGTGTTTTGTCAGAGCGTCTCGTTATTCTGATTTGCTTCAGGGACTAACCATTTAGGCTTTAACAAATTTTCAGGGTCTAGTTCAAGAATCAGATATTAACTTATTCAATCTGCCATTTTATACTCCGTGCGAGGATGAAGTAAGGAATTTTATTCAGAACGAGGGATCATTTGCTATTGAAACCTTATATGGTTTTCAAGGCAACTGGGATCCATATGATACGGACTACACAAATAAGAACGATCTTAAGGAGGACAGCCGCGAACACGGGAAGAACGCATCAAACGCTTTTAGAGCTGTTGCAGAACCGTTATTGACATCTCATTTCGGGAATTCCATAATTGATGTGTTGTTTAACAAGTTTGAAAGGCATGTGGCGGAGCATCTAGCTAATAAGAAAACAAGATACTTCAATATATTAATTTCATTGACTAGAAAATGAACCAACAATGTTTCAAATTAAAACTATTGAAAGTATAAGGTAGATATAATAGTATTTACTAGTTATTCCTATTAAGTGTTTGTTAGGAATGGATGTGTGCCACTATTTGAAACACTTGGGGTGTTTAGAACAGTTGCAACGGTTCCCTGCTGTTGTGACAGTTAAGTATTTGATAGTTAATAGGTTTCTATACATATATGTGTGTGTCCGTATTGTACTGTATAAGGGTTTTTTTAATGATAATAAAGTTTGTTTTAGTATAGATATTCTCTGCGTTATTTGTGTTCCTCTTCACAGAATCTGCAGTAATCTTCCTCCAAGTATTAAGAATTAAGTTTTCGCCAACAAAGTGGTATCAAAGCCTATGGTTCTTGGTTCTTTGTGGCATGTTGTAGCAAGGTTCGAGATTTGAAGGATTGTTCCAAAAACAACACATGAAGAAGAAAACAAGAAGAACAAAGCAGTATGTGAAACAACAAACAGGAACACACAGGACTGTGCAGAAAACTTAAGGAGAAATTGAAACAAAAAGAGACTATTTGATTCAAGGTTGAAGACAAGTGCAAAAAACAACAAATAACGCAGAAAAAGATGAGAAATTCAAACAAGATCATACGGAGTCTCGATGGTTATAGTAAAAGTTTTTGGCATTGAAATTTTTGTCAAAAATGAAGACAAACAAGAGACAATTATGGAACAACGAATTCCTATGAAGATAAAGAAAGGTCCATGGAAAATAGAAGATGATGAACTCAACCACAAGGGTGGTGCCTGATTGGTTTGAGCTTGGCTCCAAAGGTCAAAAGTACCGGAAGGTCCCAAGTTCAAATCCAAGGAGGAATAAAAATCCCCTTGTGGCCATGGAGGTTCAAAAGTGGTGACTCCGGGCTATCTGCAAAGTAGGTAGTTGCCCTGGGATTAGTCGACTCACATAGCTAGTTGGATATCCAGGTTAATAAAAAAAAGATGAACTCTTGATCAAGCATGTCGAAGAATACAGACCAGAGATTGGGATCTTCTTCTTTCAAAAGGTACTTCTTCAACGCACGGGAAAATCATGTCGTCTTTGGTGGTTGAACAATTATCAACCTAATCTCAAGAAAGGAGTGTTTTCGGAAATGGAAAAATGAATGTTGTTTGATTTACAAGGCAAGTAAGGGAACAAATGGGCAAAAATTGCCACATATTTGGCGGGAAGATCGGTTGATCATGTTAAGAATATTTGGTATAATCATCAAAATAAAATGGCCCGATTTAACAAGGGTAAAACAAAATGTTTGAAGTTTGGTTCAAGTCCAGATGAAAAGAAGAAGATGAAAAGAAGAAGAAGAAATATTGCAACTAGCGTGCTGGACTAATATAATAGAAAGTCAAGGATATTGAATGATAGATATGAGAAAGAAGCGCTTAAGAATTCGATTTAAAAAAACAAATAAAATCAGACTGAATCTTTGATAATAATAATAAGAAGAAGAAGAAGAAGAAGAAGAAGAAGAAGAGGAAGAGGAAGAGGAAGAGGAAGAGGAAGAGGAAGAGGAAGAGGAAGAGGAAGAGGAAGAAGAAGAAGAAGAGGACAAAGAAGACGATGACTTCAAGGTTGATTACATTATCTGCTATGAACATACCAGACGAAAAGAATCTAGATGTTTTTTTTTGTTGATAATGATCACTGTGTAAAGGTGGATGAAACTCTCCACAAATGTGTTGATGAACAAAGTTATACCCGTTATGAAGATTACTCGTTATGAAGATTCTGGTGTTCAAGTTTGCTGTGGGTGTACTCTCCTAATCATGAAGAAATCAAGGCTGATGATGAATGATTCAAGATGTATGTTGTTCATATATAGTTTAAGGGGGAATGTTGAAAGTATAAGTTGTTAGAAAAATATTGTAGAAATGAAAGACAAATAGATTAGGATGTGATTGGAAATCACTATCCTTAGAATAATATTAGCCCTCACTAGTATGCTGTTGGGTTAAAGGCTAATTTATCCCCAGGACTAACCTAATCTAGATGAATGATACAGCCAATCAATTCATCTCCATGAACATCCATTTTGTTGCAGAAAATTGAAGAGGAGAACAAAATGATAAAAGAGAGACTTCAATCGATTTCTACCAACATGTTAGACATTGTAACACCCCCAAAACTCACATTGCATATAACACATATTTCATTTATAGAATACATGTTAAATCCCACAAAGGTCCATAATACAAGAGTCTACAATACAAAAACACAACTTAAAAATTCTGAAATACATGCTCTTGTATTCATAACATCTATTCTTCAAAACATATCCAGAAATGAACTTCACAAAGCTAAGCACATAGGGAAATAATTCACATTTTCCCTTTCCCTTACTATCATTATATTCTGCATTTCCTGCAACACATATTTGAAAACACAAAATCAAGGGTTAGACCTAGAGGTCTAGTGAGATTCCCTTTTTCCATGTAGTTATAGGGTGATAAACACCAAAACAGTTATTCAATTAAAGCCATTTCACATGTATGCATGTATAGCCATATTCTGTTTGAGTCCATCGGACCTCTGGTTCCAAAGATAGACTTAGAAAATATTCCCATAAACAAGAGGACCAGAGCCCCTATAGTCCCTCTACCAGAGCTACTGGTTAAGCCAACTAGAGCCTCTTACTTAGTGTGAGTTCTTAAAATAATTCATAGATTTACCTCATAAATATTATAATAGCTTTTCCATGGCCAAGAATATATTTTTGAAAAGTTCTTGTATGACTAGAGTTTCTGGTCCAACCCGCAAAGTCCAACCAGAGCCTCTGGTTCAAAATACCAGACCAACCAGAGCTTCTGGTCCAACCCGCGTAGGCCAACCAGAGTCTGTCTTTTGTTGTAAGAAATTTCTAAGTATAAAATCTTCTAAAAACTCTTTTTACAGTATAAATTGACACAAAGCTCTTATCTATAGATACAGAGCCTAACTAAAACTTTACAAAAGACTTGTATAAATCTCAAATCAACATCCAGAACCCTCTGGTTCTATTATGAGGATCAACCAGATCCCCTTTGGTTCCTCTCAAGGAACAACCAGAGCCTCTCTGGTTCCTTTGTACCCAAACACTTGTTCCAAAACAGTTTATAACCAAAAACCAATGGCCATAGGCCAAGTTTTCCCCTTCTCAATCCTTTAAACACAAAGAAGTAAGTACTCAAATCTATTGTAATCTTCAAGGTCATAATAGCAAGAGCTGTAATAACCACACTCAATTGCCACCCTTATATCCAAAGGTAAACCTCTCCTTGATATGCCACCCTTATAGCCGAAGGTACAACTCTCCTTGAAATGCCACCCTTATCCCATGGTACACCTCTCCTTGATATGCCACCCTTATTTTCTCATCAAAATCTATGGACTAGTTCATACGAAGACAGACCGAAGTCACAACCGTCTTAATGAATCCTCATCCATAGTTTTATCCACAAAATCTATAGATTAATCCCAAACGAAGACAGACCGAAGTCACAACCGTCTTGTTAGGATGTCCACTATAGTTCTCAACCAATAATAGTTTCCAAAACAGTTTTATTTTTAAAACCTTCAAACTCAAGAACAACTTGTTCTTTCAATGATTTCCAAATATCAAACTTCCCTTAAATCCTTTAAAACATAATCTCATTTTCCTAAAACTTTTTTAAAGCATAGTAACTGTTTCATCTTTCCAAAACAGCTTTAAATCCATAATCATAAACACTTTGTTCAAACTGTTAATAAAACAATATTCACCAGATTTGTTAAAAACCCAAATTCACCAAAACCCAACAGTTTATATATCAATAATTGTAAAGGTTTTAGTTTATCAAAACTCACCTTAACAATCACAGATTCTGTATGTTGAAACACACAACAAATCACAAGTTCTTCAAACAGCTTTGAACAATAGTTTTCTTCAAGAATACTTCTCACCACCACAACACTCGTTTTCTCTTAACAGGTTTCTTCTCAAATAAAGTAATAAAGTAAAATCTTATCCTTTTCTTTCTTTAAATATCCTCATAAAGGCGGTGCAGGATTTCTTTCAATATTAAAATAGTTTTGGGGGTGGAAGATAATATTATAAAATCATCCTTGCTTCATTATGAAGATATTGCATCTTCATATATTAAAATATGCACATATATATCATGTATGTGTCACACCCCGCTAAAGCGGAATCACGAGATGTAACAGGTAAGCGAGTCACAGCAGTAGTTAATCAATAACACCTTTCAAATTTTACAAAGATAAATCGAGTATAACACCATAACCAAATTTGGGATAAATACAACTTTTACAAAATACTTCAATTGTGAACTTAACCGATCTTGCCACAAGTATGCTTCCAAAATACNTAACACCATAACCAAATTTGGGATAAATACAACTTTTACAAAATACTTCAATTGTGAACTTAACCGATCTTGCCACAAGTATGCTTCCAAAATACTTCTTTTCTTACTTACTACCTRAAAAGCATGGAACATAAAACAAGGTCAACTACAAGAGTTGGTGAGCTCACGGGTTTTCACATGCAMARAACTTTACAWTGCATAAATCATTTACTAGCAAACATATAYATAAACTTTTGCACTTAWTAAATGTAAATCTACCGCGATGTTTATACTTGGGACGCTACTGRGCCTTACCTGACCAATGTGCCCCATTATTTTACGAAYGACCATAAGTAGCCCRTACACTTWCTTAGGTCCCACAGTTSGTAGTAGTACTAATTCAGCGGTGGTCCAAATTCCACATGATTAGACCAASAAAAMATAGGTAATGTGCACCCCTTTCTGGRTGGGACTKTMAMCACAATAGYGGCTATCCACAATAYCACGGCCYGGGGACGTGCCYGAGTTAACAAGTAGCGTTTACGGACGRRGAYTTTATTTGGAAACATACTCCCAAGCACATCAATTTAGCATTTATTCAATAGTGCAAAAACAGTCAATATTTCATGACATAATAAACTTGACTAAACAGTTCTTTAGTCCGATTGTTTCAATAAA